AGCTCTGGGGCAGGCCTGCACACCTCAATTTCTTAATCTGAGCAATCAGAAGAGTTACCAATGTTTTCTGATCTTTACTTGAAAGTGTCGTGAACAAAACAGGATATTCATTCTAAAAGTCACCTCGTAACCTTTTCCAGATTTCCACTTAATCAACAAGAGGTCTGTCACACAGAAAAAGCTCATCCCTTTTCAGCACTCAGTAGCAGAAAAACAAAAGGATCCTAATTGAAAAGAATTGATCTATTTTTCAGAAAAATAAAGCTCAAACATCCAGGTTAAATAAAGTAGGATCAACTGCAGACTGTAGAAAAAAAAACAAATTCCACATACAATTTTTTGACAAACAGAATTCTGAAAACAAATTACATAAATATTTATGGTAAGTCCTAAAGCTAAACTGGGTTCTTAAAGAAAGCACTGCTAGTGGAATCTGCTATAAGAACTTGAACCTTCTTTGTCCTACAAAAATAAGTATATATTGCAGTAATGTGAGTAACCCTCACATCTGGAGGAAAGCTTTGTTCTGCATATACTAATCAATAAACAACTGCTTTTACCTTTTAATCTGCATATAAGCTGCTGTGCAGGGCTAAAGGTACTCAAAGTGACCCAGAAGAGGGATGGTAATAGAGCTTAGCAAAAGCTTCTTGATACTGAAACTAGTCAATGCCAAGACCACTCTGTTCTGAGCTTGATGCTCTTGAGCGGTGCCAGGACAGGGCGAGCAGCAGATGAATACCCAACCCAGCCTGCCAACACCATGGCAGGGAGCAGTCTCATGCCAGCAGAGCCACAGGAATACGCTAATAATGCAGCCAGAGAGATGCCACAACAAAAGCAGGAGAGAGAGAATGTGTTTCATCTTGGTGTTAGCCAAACAGAGGGCCCTCAAGAAGCCACTCCTGCACTCCAAAAGACTGGTTTGAATAGCCAGGCAAGATCTTGTGCAGTAGCTGTGTGGGTCCAAGAAGCTTCAGTTCCACTGGCACACTCCACAAAAGGCAAAGAGGAAAAGGGATGAAAAGGAAAAAAAGGCAAAGAGGAAAAGGGGTATCTCGATGGAGACATCCTTCTCAGGGTAAACCCAAATCACTGGGAGTGAGTCAATTTGGCCCAGCCAGCCACAGGACAGCTCCTGATTCCAGGTGGAAGGAAACCTGCATTTCTCCCGCAGCAATGAGAGTCTCAAATGTGATTCCTCACTCATCTGTATGGTACAACTTGGAAGCATGGCAAAGATAACACTTCTCAAGCACGTTGAATTCTTCAAGAACTTAAGAAAAAACCCTGAATGCAAGCTGTATCTGCTGGGCAAGGGTCCCCGATAGTGGAAAGCCTTCATTTGACCATGCTGTCACTGCTGGAAAAATGGAGGGAAACTTTAAATGTATCACCTGCATGGCTTAAGAACTCTATTATTAACATACACAGACATTAAAACCATGTAAATAAATGTGTGGATACCAGAATTTTGCATGGGTAAGATAATATTCTTGTAACTGGTGCTTCAGGCATCAGCTAGTGTTTCTTTTCTTCAGAGAATATACAAAAGTCTCAAGGTAATAATTAAAGTCACTGAAGTTGTAGCATTTTTAATCTAAAGAAAACTGCTCCCTAGCAATAGAAACAAATGGACAAAACAGACATTTTAAATTTACTCTGAATGCCACTAGTTACTCACAGCTACTGCCAGTGCAGGGCAATAGTTGTATGACTTGAAAAACAGTGTTCTTTCGAATGCGCAGTCCATGCATGTATTTCAAACAATGAGCACGCTTGTGCTTCGTCACTTCACAAAACAAAACTCTGTCTTTCAGCATTTATAGGTGGCATACCATTGCCATATTCTTCCACCTCCTCAACGCATGGCATGTAAAGCAGAGAACACCGCTTACTGTTTCAATTCTCTCTCAGCGGCAAGATTATAAGCGGAAGAGCTCAAGGAGGGGAATAGAGCGAGGGGAAAGCTGTGAAAGACAAGCATACGTACAACTGATATATTGAAGAATATTTGTTACCTTCGAGTGAGATCACTGGAAGATCTCAGAGTCCTCCATGCAAACCATAACTATAAAATCACCCTAGTAACATCACATGCTTTAGAGCTAGCATAACATTTGATGAAAACATGGATGACACTTTTGGTAGCTCAGAGGAAAGGCAGACACTAAATCCATGTGCTTGAACCCTGTCCTACTGAATTACTGGGAGGGAGGCGTGGGCAGTGGGAAGCATTTGTCAGATTTTAAATACGTTTAGAAAACAGCGATTTAGATATTTGTGGCCTGGTATGAAAGCACAGAGTGGCAGGCACACAAATTGGTTGAAATTCAGAAGTTCCAATTTCAAGCACATGAACAAGAGCCACAGTAACAAAGACAACGGTATTTCACTGCATTTTATTTTAAAAATGCATAGACAGCCACAATAAAAAAGATATTTTAAAATATGTTACCCATTGGTATTCATATTTATTAGCCTTAAAGAGACAAATATTTGTATATATAGGGGGCTATGTGTGTATGCATATATATTTGTTCCTTTACTCTGTAAATATATGAAACTTGGATGCGGAGGTACCCAAGAACTTGATATAGAAAATTCCCTACTCTTTCATTCAATTACTCTAAATGCAGCAACTGCTTTTTATACCAGTCACTACAAAAGAGCACTGGCTCTTTTGTAATAGTAATAATAATAATAGTAACAGTTATTCAGTAAGTCTTTATGATTAAAAATAAGCACATTCAGAAGTATAATCTTCGACAGCCTTGAATTCTTCAGTGAGTCTCCGAACTCATTCTTCATGACACTAGAAGGTTTGCGTGTATGTGAATCCTTTTAACCCAGGCAGCAAGGTCCCTGCTGAGAGAATTATCCACAAACTATTCTAAGTGAAGTTGAAACACCAGTAGGTCTTCTGCCAGCTCCCACAGTAGTGACCCTTATTTGCATGGGTTAACATTAATTTATCCAGTTTGACTGGACGAAAGAATCACCAGCAAATAATGCAGAAGTAGAAGATGAGGTATGTTCCATTCTAAATTTGCAAGGCAAACCAAGGACTGTATTAAACAACCACTAGACAAGAATGCTTAAATGATGACTACATTTTTTTGAACCTACTTTGCATATTTAGTGTGCTTTTTTGCATAATTCACACGTGCAAGAGCTGCAGCACAGACAACCTGAATATTCAGATGAGTTCCATATTGTGGAGTTTCAGATGTTATTATCAAAATTAATATATCTTTTTATATATGTAAAGTCCACAGTAAAGGCATCTCAATCAAAACAACAGGATAGAGGGCTTAAAACAAAACAAAAAACCTCTGGACAATACCTCCTTCCACCCAGGAAAACATTTGCCCGAGAACCCCCTCTCTTGGCAGTTTGAAGACTGGCATGAATTGCCTTTGAGGACTCATCCTCAAAACTACTGGCAAAGGAAATATAGAGAGCCTAATCATTATAACGCTGCAGAGAGACACTGGATTATCCTTTTCCTTTTGTGTAAGCAGCTTGCTCCTTTGAGATCAGGCTTTTAATTCCCCAAATTTTGAAAGTTTCCTTGATTACGAGAAATGGTTTGAAAATATCATGACTGCTTTCAGCAACATATACTGTTTTCCCTTAGAGTTATACTATCCTATACAAAGTAATAAAGTTTTCCAGAACTTGCACCATGTACTAATTCACAAGCCCTGCCAAAACAACTACAACCACCACTCAGGGCTCGAGTAAAGCTTAGCCCATTACACCACCTGTGGTTTTTTAAAAAACATTACCATTTGCAGTTATAATACTACAAGTATTGATTACAGCATGCTTCTTCATGGACTGAACGTCACTACTACACTGCAAAACTCTCATTCAACAGAAAATTTTTACAAGTGTAGATGGAGAAGCTAGTACTTTCCTGGAAAAATTAGCATGGAAGAGGTCACTTTCATGAAGAGTTAAGTCAGCGGGTAAACAAACAAAACATCTGAGTACAAGAAAAAAGCATCAAGTGCAACAGACTGTTCTAGGAATGAGAGAAGAAAAGCAGTCTTCTAACAAGCGTGCAGAAGGTTTGTGTGGCAACATTAACACCGGAGACAAAAAGTGACTGTAAACCAAACAAACACAAAACTAAACCTACAACATTCTGGAATGTTAATTTGGAATTCACATTTATGGATCTGGTTTTGAATTTGTTTTAATACTTCAGGATTAAGGTTGCATTATTTCACCTCAGACTATAGTGAAACATGTTCTCATACTGTATCTTCTCAATGTACTTCTCAATAGACATGTTTTACACCACTTGCTTACTCTGAACATTAGGATAAAAATCAGTCTCCTTTCAAATACGACCTCAATCACACTATTCATGTGAATAAAAGCAGAGGATTAGGACATTCAGTTTATTCACACACAGACATCTCCAGCTACATAAAAAAGAACTACAGTTATAACATTTACAATGGCATTTTGCTTTAGGTAGAAAAACCCACATGAAGATATATGCAAAGCAATCCCCCCCTAAACCCATATTCTTGCCATTTTTTCCAGTACTGCTCCCAAATGATTTGCTAATCTATTTCATAACTAATATTTTGCATGTGTTTAGATGTTTCTAAATAATAAACACTGATATACTTAATTGAAATGCATAACACTAACACTGAGAAAATATAGTAAAAAAAGATAGTGATTATGCACTTCACATGATGAAAATTCACTGTAAGACCCAATTACAATACAACAATCAGGTCAGGGTTCAAGATTTTCTGGACAGATGGTTAACTTCAAACACACTGACCCCCTATCAGACTGGATTAGTGCCAACAGCACTCAGCCTTTCCTACGGAAAGTGGGTCAGATTAGGTTTTATTCAAGCGCTTTGATTTAATGCATCACGATTTCCAAACAACTTATTAAAACCTGCTAGGTTAAGATATTTGCATATTCTTATACAGAAAATGGCATTCCGTCCTAGACATCACGCTTACCTTCACATTTCTCTAGGATCTGGACAGTTTCACCTAGTTCCAGGACCAAGCCTTGCGGTACAGCTCCTCTGAAGCTGCATATCACTAGAGGGTGGGGAGAGAGAGAGAGAGAGAGAGAGAGAGAGCGAGAGAGAGAGAGAGAGAGAGAGAGAGAGAGAGAGACATATGAGGGTTGAATCTTTGTGTGAATTTTTCTTCTAAGCATAGCACTTTAGCTCACTCTTCACATAAAAATAGCTATTACATAGCTGCCCAGAAAACCTGTCAGTCAACTCTTCCTCATCAGATATCTTTATTTCGGCCCTTATCAGAAATAAAGCACAGCAGCAACACAAAAGCTGTGCTTTTTCAAAGATTTTTTTAATTAAGCAAGGCTTCTAATCACTTTAATCACCAACCCCTGATTCACATTGCATACAAAGATTTCCTTGCCTCGCAATTCTTACTCTACTACACAGCTCCTCAATGGAATAGGCAGTCCTCACTGCAAAGACTATAAGAGGAAGTCAACTGCAGGAATTACTTTCCTCCAAGTTGAAACTATTTCAAGTACCATCTGTGAAACAAACACACTGTAAAAATCCTATATTACCATACATTATTATATTTAAGTAGTTATGTAAAAGAACACGTAAGAATCTGTACTTCTTATAAGCAATAACTTGACATATATCTTAAATATTTTTCTAGGTATCTTTAGTTTTCATTAACCAGTGAAAATAACAACCCACCAGTGTTTCAGAAAATATAAATACAATAAAAATATTACTAAACAAACCTAAATTTAAAAATTAATTTTTTAAAAAAATATCACCGTGTATAAAAATACATTCTTTAACCTTCTTATCAAAATACAGCAGGGACATGGACAGGGATAGTTACCTGAAACGTGACATGTCAAAACAAAGGATGAATTGCACTGCTGCTGAACAGCATTTAAAAACTCACTCAGGCACAGATTTAATTTAATCATTCAAATACCCTGTTCTAAAGAAATACACACTCAGTCACAGAGTACTCCCTGTTTGTCACCTACGCACACGCTGGAGCACTACAAGCAGAATTCCACGACTCGGAATAGTGACCTCCAGTGGGCACCGTCCTTTTGCCCAATTTCAGAGAACACTCCCCTTTAAATGCAAACACTCAAACTACGATTGAGATGTTCCCATGTGATGGAGCTGCATTTCATCTCCTCCCTAAATATCTTTTTATGTCAAAGCCACCGATTCCCTTATGACTAAAGCCTCTCTCCGCAGAACTTCAAGCACTTAACCAGAAAGTCTGAAGTCCAGGGGAAGAACACCATGGAAATTCAGACTATCATCTGCACAAGGTATGTTTCTTGAACCTTAAATTTCCAACAAATAATGAGAAAAGCATAGAAAAAACTTCTACCAAAATAAAACAGTTTCAACCGTCTATACAGATTTCATAGAGGGAAAGGGCAAGAAGGAACAAACTACATGCATCAGCCAAACACCTGCACAGATGAGAGTAATATGAGAAATAATTTGAATCAAAATGTGAAGAGCACCAAACAGAACCAAATGTTTGCAGTTCCACAGTAAGACTCAATGCAATGTTTAATTAAAGGTGAAAAAACTAGGGATTCCATCAACAACGCTAAACTGTTCTCTCGGCTCCTACTGCTCAGCAGAAGTCACCGTTGGGTAAACGAGGTTTTGAATTCTTGTTTACATCAGAGGCAGGAGAAACATATCAACTGGCTCCAGACTGGAGTAATTCAGACAACAATCCAAGAAAAACACTAAGCTTGTCAGCATTCTGGATTTATTCCTCACCCATGAAGAAGTCATAAATGTGGATTTCAACCAAAGAAAAACTACTTCATGCTTCTCCCGAAGTGCAGGAACATTGACAATTGCCAAACGCTTAACTGGCGGGCCATGATCAAACCTCTCATGGCTTCTCCTTGCCCCTCCAGTATTTTAGACAGCAGTATCCTTTCAATACAAAAAATGCTTTTTTTTTCCTTAATAGGCAATTTTGCCAAAACAAGAAGGTACAAACTCTTTTAAGTTATTTTGCAAAATACAGTCCTGTATTAAAATAACGAGTTTTCCATCCAGACTACCAAAAATACTGAAAAATTCAAGTATGTTTCAAAACCACAGGGTTTTAAAAATCCAGGGTGAAAAGCTACTATTGAAAACACCAGAAAAATGAAGAAATGTTAACACAGTAACAAGACACATTAATTTATGAAAGTAACTATAGATACATGATTATTAAAAAAATATACACATGATAATATTAGATCAAATTTCCAGGCCATTTGCAACTTCTCTGAATATGCCAAGATTATCAGGACACAGAGACACAAGAGTACTAGTGGCCGTAGGCAGTCCGAATTGCAGAGAGATTAACAACTGTCTTACTCAGCCGAGTCCAACAAGTAATAGCCTGAAAAACATTACAGCATGTTAACACTACATTAGGAGTTTTGCATTAGCAAAAAACAGCTGACAATTATTTACCGTATGAAAACTACTGAATAAAGGATGCAGCCAGGAAAGAAACTGGATTTGAGGCAACTGCCAGTTCTTTGCTCATCAAATACTTGCCTATTATGTAACAATAAAAAGTGAGCTTGGAATGAAAGCCAAAGGGAAGGTACCAGGAAAAGTTTTTTTTCCAACTGCTGATACAATAGATTTTAAATATATGGCCAAGAATAATGACTTTAATATATTTAGTCTCACAAGAAGTAATTCTAATAGATCCGTTAGTTTACAGATGGAAATTGTCCATTAACAAAAGGATTCTACTGGTCACACAAAGAAAATCTGATATAAGGACTCTACTGTATCAATACGTAATCAGCTCTTTAGAATTCAGAGTACTCCATTAATAAGATAGGCAATGCTCTTTTCTTAGGTCTACTTCAGTGAAAAAAAGAATAAGTAAACAAAAATCACAGAACAGAAATTAACTGATCCCAGCAGCTGTAGATACAATCTGGATGATCATTCTCAATTAGAAAATAATGTCTCGTACAAAAATAACATCCACCTCATGTTCCTCATTCTTAACACAGCAGTATGAAATCTAATGCCTTCATTGATAAATTTGTTCTCATCAATAAATTATGAAGGTCTCTTCTGTTTGACAATTTTAATAATCAACTGGGTATGTGAATAGCAAAATGGACATTTTCAAAATAACAGAAACCAAATCTCAACAGCAGTTGACTTTCCAGCCACACTACACTAAACGTAAGTCAGGAAAAAAATCAAAGAACCCAAATAAACTGACGAAATACACCAAACCATATCTTATTAAAACTGTTGAACAAGAACACAATTTAACATCTCTGAAATAAAAAAGAACAGTAAAAATAGCTACTGATTATGACAGAATCCCAGAAATTTTAGGCTATTTTATAGTCTGATAAATGATTCCAAAGGTTACTGCCAAAGCTGTGGATGTTACTCATTTGTTAAACTAAAAATGCATTATGCAACACAGTATTATTTATGAAGTCACTTTTAGGTACACAACTCTTCTTAGCAGTATTTGAAAAATATGAACACAAATGTATGGGAAATAGGGAATAATTTAACCATTCTGGGGAAAATAATTTACAGAGAGGACTCCAGTAACTGACTTCTGTCTCTTCCCACAGAGAAATTCTTTATAGCACATGATCGTCTACAAACTGTCCATCAGCTCAGTAAGTCTCCATCGTTTCTTCGAAGTCATCCCAGCGGTCACCAGAATACAGATGTAATGCATCATCAAAATAGGCACAGAGCAAAGCTTTTACCCACCTGATAACAGATCTGGACATCCCTCTTGGATTCCAGGACAGACTGCTGAAATATTTAACATCTGTTTTCAGATGTTAACCCCCCTTGCCATCCTTCAGGTTTACAAGGAGGTCGCAGGTCCCCCTCACGAAACACAGTTTCATCACATGCCACTTCCAGAAATTCTCTCCAAGTCAGAGGTTCCTTAAGTGCAGTACCTGAACTGTATCAAAGTGGGCCACAGCAAAAAAAACGCTTCCCTCTACACCTCCGTAATTTATTAACAAGAAAGGCACAGACTAGTTCACGTAGGCAGTTACTGCCCAGCTTTAGTACACAGTACGAAGGAATTTGGGGGTACAATACATAAGAACAGATGGAATTGGAATAACTGTTCAGAAAGCCAAAGACCCAGCCACGAGACGACAGATTCAGAAGTGTCTTCCTTGGCTGCAGACATGCCCCGAAACAGTATAAGCAGCTGCACTGCAAGTCAGCAGCAGTAAGAGGAACTGCTTCAAAAGAATAAGGGTACACAGATAAACATGACCTCTTAAGAAAGAGTCAGTGCATCTTTGTATAGCTTACTGAGTCCTCATCTGTTAGATAGCTAAAGGAGCTGCTTGCTATCTAGACAAAGAAGATCCAATTGGTACAATCTAGCAGGTTTTACAACAGCTCTTCCAAACAGCCTCTGTCAAAAAGTCTTGCAGAAACTGAGCTTGGCTATGATACAGTGGGAAGGCATTTGCACAGATAACTAACTAGCAGAGAGACATGAAACAGAAGAAGTAGCCAGTTTTCTTACTGAAGACAGATTGACTAGCAAGCTCTAAAGGTATCTCTGTTGGAGCCTTTTCTGTTTAAGTATTTCTAAATGATCCAGAAAAGCTGATCATTCAGAAAAGTGACAGTTTGTGAAGCCACTCAAGCTATTCAGGGTAATAAACAGTCGCAGACGGACCAAAGTGTCGCAGGACGAGCTGGCAGATGTACACCATTTAGTTCACCTACATGGTGTTGCACAACGGATGAAGAATCCTGACCTCACACACCAAATGATCGCGTCTCCCCTTGCTATTACCACACCAAGTGAAACTCTGGACTGTTGTTCAGAGTTCTTGCCATAAGCTCAATGCTCAGCGACTGTCAATCGCCATCTTCCTCACCACCATCACATCACAGCCGAATACTATATTTGGCAAAAAACAGAAGACATCATTCCCTACAGTACTGTACGAAATTCACAATGAACCCCTATGTGCCAGTTCTCCCCTTTCTCCTTTGTCAAAAAATACATCCTCTGTCAAA